TCACTTGATGCCTTGCTTAGATGGACAGTGATAAGTAGGTATATTTTCATCCTTTTGCAGGAAGACCACTCAGGGTCAAGTCTAGTCTGAATTATTGTGTTTTGGTGATGATGGAGGGCTCCTTAGAACTCTGAGAGCGAACAAAAAGCATAGAATTTCCTCACATGAGCAAAGACTATTAAGCCTAAACATATTGTATCTGTCCTCAACAAATAATTCTATGGTTATTAGCAATGAACTGCAGTCAGTGAGTTACTTTCAGTGTGGTTTTCAATTAGAGTTATTTCTTTAAATGAATTAAAGCTGTCTCCAAGACTGCTTCTGTGTTATGCAATTTAATTTAAAACAACATTGTGCTGGCTAGTTTTCATCATAAACCTGGCTCTGGGAAGAAAGAAGCTCAACTGATCAGTTGCTAAGATTATATTGACCTATGGCTATGTCTGTAAAAGATTGTCTTGAATTATGATTGAGGTAAAAGATGAAATCTAACGTGAGAAGCACCACCTCTTGTCAGGTCTGGGCTGTATAAGAAAGCTGAGCATGAGCAAAAGTAAGCCAGGCTGCAGCATCCCTCCTTGGTGTCTGCTGCAGTTCCTGCTTGAGTTCCTGTCTTCACTTCTCTCAATAATGGGCTGTGATCTGTTGGAGGAGGGCCCACTTGTTAGTCCTGGCCACCCAGAACCAAAATAACGACACGGAAACTGTATTATTTAAATCACTGCTTAGCTCATTAGTTCTAGCTTCTTATTAACTAACTCTTATATATTAATTTAACTAATCTCTATTAATCTGTGCATCACTATGAGATCATGCCCTACCAGCAATGTTTCAGCACATCTGTCTCCAGTGGCGGTGGCTCCATGGAGTCTCCCTAACTCCATCCATCTCTCTCCCAGCATTCAGTCCAGTCCTTTCTGCCTACCTAAGTCCTGCCCTATAAACAGGCCAAGGTAATTTCCTTATTCATTAATGGTAATCACGGCACGCAGAGGGGACTCCCACATTAGTGATCTGCAAGTATAATCCCAATAAACACTTTCCTCTTTCAAGTTACTTTGGTTCATGATGTTTTCACAGTAACAGAAAGCAAGAGAGTATTTATTATAAATGTTAAATATTCATGCTCTTCCATAGTGAAGGCTAAAAGAATAAAGGTCACCAAAAAATTGAAACAACCAATTTAATTAATTTCTTCTCTAATATTTCCTATAATACTTTTAATCAGATGATGTATAATCTTTCCTGTGTCCTGATACTCATTTCCTCCTTAAGCTGTTCTTAAGATTTACAGTATCTGTGTAAGGGCTTGGTAGACTTATAAATTGTCTTTTCTTTTCCTTTATTTTATGGATGGATTAGATGCTTACTGAACTAAGTGTATGTTTACAGTTTGGGAACTGAAATTTCATAATCTAGATTTAATTAATACAAGAATGCTAGCACTTAACCGGCTGTATTATCTGTCTGCATCTTTAGACTTTTTTGCATGCATTGAGGGAGTAGATTTCCAACTAATAACTCATATACCTTATTAATTTTCTACATTCTAACAAGCTGGGTATTCACATTAAGCATTTGATTGTTGAATATTAGATAGAAAATAATATATCCATTCATTCATCTTTTGTGTATTTTGCTTCCCATGTTGTCCTTTGATTCTGAGTGTAAACAGATTCATCAAAACCCAAACATATGACTAACTTACATACCAGGGTACACTGGGCCTCAGTGTCGCAAATGACACTAAATAAATGGTTAGAAATTCAATTGAGTAGGAAACAGATTTACTAAATTTGAATATGGATAAGGTATACGTCCTGTCAATCAGTGCCAGGGCATTAGTGACATGTTATTTTATCCTTGGGGTGCTAACAGTAAAGTACTAAACTATGCCTTTATTAGAAAATATATGGTACCAATAGCAAAAGCATAGTTCAAGGATAGCTGTAATTCACATACCTTGCCAGTGTCTCAAAATTCTGGCATAAGTCTGATTACTAAGAGGGAACCACAATATGACTGAAAGTGTAGATATTGAAGCTTCTCTGCCCAAGTTGCTATGGCACTATAATAGCCCACTTCCTCTGACAATACTCAATTTGGAAAAGTTCTTGATTTAGTTATAAAACAATTGCTATTAAACATCTGGTACCTGGATACAACAAAATGTCAGGCAATTTCCCCCAAATGCTGAGAATGGGATGGAGGAAAAAGAGCTATTTGAGAAATACAGAAGAAATGGACAGCAGTTCTCAAAATAAATTTTGTAGAGACTGTCAAAACATGTGCAAAACTGAGATTTAAAAACCTTTAGATTTCCAGAAAATATTATATGTTGTGAATCTTTGCTTAAGTTAAAAAAAAATAGGACACATATTTTAAAAAAAATCTCATCAAACCACGACTGCTAATAGAAGTCAGCCTCTAGCCATTGTCCTGCATCAGGACCTGTGAAAATCCACAATGCCAAGTTCCCTGCTAAGGTAGACAAAGGTTCTATAATGTTTAGACAGAATACATTTTGAATGTCCATATAGGTGCAAATACTCTATATGAACTTGGAGCATTGGTTTTGGCTGCCAGTCCTCTGATGTTCTGACTTCATTCCTTTCATACTTGAGAAACTGTTTCCAGCATGAGTATGACACAATAGAAATATTAGAAACCCTCCTTTCCAACATCAGTTGCATTAGTTGAAATTGCATTTGTTAGAGTGATTCCAAGGTGGGTAGCTCTCTTTGCAACTTAGAATGGTCATATTTGCTCTCTTCCATTTCCTTGTGTGAGCTGTAATTTACTTGTTTGTTTAGTATAGCTAAAGATCTGAATAGGGCATTTGCCAGTCATATTCACTGCCTTTGCAATAAAGTAAGAGATAGGAAACATAAACTCAACAGAAGAAATCTCAGTGTTTGGAAGAAGATGATATCATGCTTGTGAGAACTAAAATCTAAAATGAACAAATCTTGTGGTTTGCATTGTACCTCAGGGGGGAAAAACATGCATGAGTGTTTTCATGCCTTATTCAGAACACAAGAAAAATTATTTCGGTTAAGGATTTCACCGTGCAGAAATATCTTTTGATGTTTTGTTTTTATTTATTTCATCCTCTCTCTGTCTCTGTCTCTCTCTATGTCTCTCTATGTCTCTCTCTTTCTTTCTGTGTGTGTGTGCATCTGTGTGTACATGTGTGTGCCATGTAGTGGTTGTATCAGAGCATATGAGTGGAAGCCAGCAGACAACTTTAGACATCAGTTTTCTCCTATCATATGGGTTCCAGGGAGTGAACTCAGACTGTCAGGCTTACCCAATGCACCATTTTGTGTGTCCAGGAAGTATCTTAAAAGGGTACAAAAGCTCATACCAGGTTTTCCCCCCTTTTGTTGAAAATAGATCCTTTTATCATGCAATATATCTTGAATGAAGTTTTTCCAGGTCCTCCTCTACTTTCCGTCCATTCTGGATCTACTCCCTTTCTGCCTTTCATTAGAAAAGAACAGACTTCTAAGAAATAACAACTGAACAATGTACAATAAAATATAATAAGATGAAGCAGAAACTATTATATTAAAATTTGACACAGGAACCCAGCAGGAGGAAAGGGGTCCCTAGAGCAGGCACAAGAGTCAAAGATCTCCCCATTCTTAAAATGTCCCATAAAAATCCTAAGTCTACAGCTAGAATATATATACAGAGGACTTGGTGCAGGCCCATGTAGGTCCTGTACTTCTTCAGTCTCTATGAACTCATATTAGCCTTGTTTAGTTGATTCAGAGGGCCTTCTTCTCCTGGTGTGTTCCATGCCCTCTGTCTCTTACACTCTTTATACCTCCACTTTCAAGGGATTCTGTCAGCTCTGAGAGGAGGGATTTGAAGGAAACCTCCAATTTAGACTCCTTCTCTGCATGATTGGCTGCGGGCCTCTGCATCTATTCCCGTCTTCTACCCAAGAGAAGCTCTCTAATGGTGATAGGATAAGGTCCTGTTCTATGAGTACAGCAGAATATCATTATAAATTATTTTATTGATTTTTTAGGATTGATAGTGTTTGATTTTACTGTAGAAGTCTAGGCTATCTAACCTCTGTTTCTTGGTTGCACAAGAAGCACTGGATGTGGGTTCCTTCTCATGGAGTGGGCCTTAGGTTAAATCAGACATTGCTTGGCTATTTCAACAAGTTCTTTACTACCATCGGCCTAGCATATTTTGTAGGCAGGACTGATTTTGTGACTGGTTTGGTGTTCACATTTCTGGTAGCCTTCGGAGTACTTTCCCATACCAAAGAGACTAAAATATAGTGGTGAGGGCTTCATTTATGGACCATCTTGACTTTTCCACATTTAATAAACTGTGTGGGTGTTGTCCTTGACAATGGGGCAACATTGTCGATTGGAAGAGAAAAGCCCTTTGTTTGAGCAGCAGCCTGGGTTGTTTGGGGGTTTCCATGGAATCCCCGTGGCCAACAACTCAATTGAATGAGCCTGGTCCCACCACTGGAAGCCTCCTCTAGAAATGGTAAATCGAGACTCTGCAACCTCCATTATTAGAAGTTCTCATTAGGCTCACCTTCATAGATGGCAGGAAGAATTGTGTGTCTGCCTTCTGCTTACTTATTGCCTTAGATGGGGTGGCCCTTGGATTAGCAGGGCCTACCTGGTGGATTTCAGGTCTGGAAACAAGCTAGGAGTTGGGGGGTGGTGGAGGAAAAAAGTTGTAAAGGGGAAGATCTGTGGATACCTTGGGAAATGAGAGTGGGCAAGGCTGCCAAAGATTCTCTGCAGTGTATCTGGTTCTAATAGTTTTGGGGTGAGACTGGGAAATTAGAATTGGAAAAATAGAAAGAGAGAAGGTCTGGTGTCAGGGCAGGAGGAAATGGGATGCTGAATTTCTTAGTTGCTCGTTCTTTTATAACGAGGAATGTTATTGGGGATTAATAACAGAAAATATTGTTACATTAAAAATGAATGTCTTATGTCTCATGGTGATCAATTTATCAGGTGTTCCAAAATTCCCCAAAGAAAAAATTGAACCCATGGATGTGGAAGAAGGGGATTCCATTGTCCTACCCTGTAACCCTCCCAAAGGCCTCCCACCTTTACACATCTATTGGATGAATATTGGTAAGTAGTGTTCTGTGTCATCAATCTAGGTCACTTTAGTTCCATGAACTGTGTAAGTAATCATATGTAATGAAACCAATGAAATAAATTGTTCATATTGACTCAAATAGATTTCAAAATTAGATACATTTGAAATTCTACCTTTTCTCCTGAGTATAAACTGGAATGTATATGTGAAGACACTAGAAAATCATTGCATTCCTTGATTTACAGTATTTGAAAGGGGCAGGGGAGTGTTCATATAATAGGACAGGCCTATGACAAACTTTGCTTCCAAAGCTCTTGTCTTTGGAACACAGGCAAGGTCAGAGTTGAAGTGACTTGGAGTAGTTGCTTGTTTAGTATGACAGTTTTAACTTAGTTCTACCTGATAAAATCAATGACCTACAAAACATTCAGTATCAGCCAGTGTGGTCAATCTTTCAAAATGCTTTGGTGGTTCCTGAAGCATCCTTCTTCCTTCAAAGCCTATTCTGTCCCATGCTTTATAATGGCCTTCTGGGCATTTATGCTATATAGGAAAATCCTATTTACACAGCAGCCAGAGGAGAGTAAGTGAAGCCACATTTGGCTGCAGCCGAGATTTGCAGCCTTCACTCACCCTAGAAGTACACAGCTGCACACCAGTGCAGAGTGATTGGTGGCTGAAACATCACTTTTGAGGAGTACAGTTTCAGAGCAATGCCATCCAGAGAAAACAAAAATAATAATAGATTATTAGAACTGAAAAAATTTTCAGATATGCAAAGTTAGAGGCCATTTGGTAATGAGGGATGGAACACCCAGACTGCTGGTGTATCTGTGAGATTCTCAACCTTCCAAAGATTTCATTGTTGCCTATTTTTGTCTGTCTGCCTGCTCCCTGTACTTTTATTAAGATCAGACTGCAGAAAAATAGGAAGAACAGACAAGGGACATAACAACCACATATAAATTGTATGAAAGGAAATAGAATTGTCAAAGTCTAATGCACATTGTGAGGAGAGCCAGCCCATTTCAATGACAAGGTTTTATTTTTTTCCTTGCAGAATTAGAACACATTGAACAAGATGAAAGAGTATACATGAGCCAAAAGGGAGATCTGTATTTTGCAAACGTGGAAGAAAAAGACAGTCGAAATGATTACTGTTGCTTTGCTGCATTTCCAAAATTAAGGACGATTGTGCAAAAAATGCCAATGAAACTAACTGTGAACAGTTGTAAGTCCGAATAATTTATTCTTTCTTTACTTGTGCTGAATGCAAATATGTGCATGATTTCATTCTTCTCTCCGAAGACATTTAAAGCCGGTTCTGTATTTTCCGTCATTGTTTCGTTTAACTCCAGAGACTTCATACAGATGATCGGAACATCTGCAGCTGCAAATCCACAGTAGCTCTGTCTCTGGCAGCCAGAAAATCAAACCTCAATTCACATTACAAATGTGTTTCATTTGATGTCTGCAGGATCTACTCATTTTCAGTGAGCATAAAGCACATCTCAGGCTTGGGCTCACTGTGACCTTGGATAAATCAGCAGGCTAAAAATGAAAGAGACAAAAAATGAGTCAAAAGAAAATCACCATTTATATTTCTTATCACATCAAGCTTTTTCTTTGTCCTTCTCAAATTGACAAAGTTATCTGAATTGATTTTCTCTTTCCTACTTGAGTCTGCAAATGCATGTCCGAGTTCCCAAAAGGGGAGAAGTAATTAGTGAGAGATGAAGTGGTAAGATTCAAAGGCAAAGAATAATCCCAGCAGCTCCCTGGCTGAGTAATTGGCTCTGGAGGAGCAGAAGGTTGGCATGACCACTTCATTGTCTAATTTGGTCCAAGATTATTCCACTATCTTATGTATATATGATATGTGGGGTCTTCTCTGTAATGCTTTTCAGTAGCCTGAAGTCTCTGTGATAGAATTAACACTTGTCTCTTCACAACTTCAAGTTTAAGCTCCATAAATACACATACATATATATGTATATATGTGTGTATGTACATATATAATGTATATATTGTGTATTACCATAGACAGTATGCAAATGTGCATGGCTGTATTTCATTTCATAATTTTCCCTAAATAAATGCATGACTTTGACTTTTCATACTTTATTGATGTCAGCATCAACCATTATGTTTGTATTAGTGTTTTCCATTTTTTTTTATTTCAGTAAAGCATGCTAATGATTCAAGTTCATCCACAGAAATTAGTTCCAAGGGTAAGTTGTTCATGTGAAGCATTTGGGCTTTTATTTTTGCCTTTAGTTACTCATTGTCATTTCAGTTTGAATTTTTTCTTTATTTACTCAAAGAGTTTTCTAGAAGCAATGCTTATATTTCTATTAAGTAACTCTTTAGTATAGAAAGTTCTGTAGTTCACTGTGCTTTAGAATTTAGCAAAGGGATATATATATATATATATGTACATGTGTATATATATATGTGTGTCTATGTGTTGATGTGTGAGTGTAGTTATATATGTGTGTGTTATCTTTACAAGTAACTTATAATTATATTTTATTAACATATAAATTTATATCTGTAGTTTTAGGTATAGATATAATGTATGCATATATTTATGAATGCATAAATATTTATATAAAATGGTGTATAACTTTGGATCTTTTACGAGCTCACAAAAGGCAAGGAAGGTTGATAACTTTACAAAAGAGAATAAAAATGGTTAATATCAAGAAAAGAAGAGAAATACTGAATTTAGAAAAGTAAAATGAATTAATTTTACTTGCAAAACTTACTAGAGAAGTTGATAAACAAACCACTACATACACTAACTCTGTGAAAGAATGCAATCTTCAGCATATTTACAATTCTCTTGTCTATGGGACCTTTTAAATTTTATTAATTTTTTTATAAAACATCTATCAGAACTTGAATGGTATCTAAGATGCTTGAGTTATAACCTTAATTATATAGTTGACTTGTTTTCTTCATTATAACCACATACACAAATGAAATAAATACCTCTACAAAATGTAGACTACAAGCTTCACTTAGATTTCTAATATACTGGTGATATCATCAGAAGTGAATAAGGCTCCTCTTGGGGTGCCATTTCAGGAGTGCTGACTCATCCCCAACATCATTTTCTTTGGGATTAGTAATCTGAATATGTATCTTCAAGCACATAAAAGAATATTGCATATAGTACAAATTTTAAAAATTATTTTAATATATAAATGCATGCAAGGAAATGCAAAGCAGACTGCACATGACTCATTATATCTTCTGATAGCAGGTCAGTATTTATTATCTTTCCACAAAAAATAAAGGCACATTGTCAATGAATATGAAAAACAATTTATGTTCACATTTGGAAGTGATATCAAAATAAAATGTAAATGAAGTATCTTAATTTACATTTTATATTTTAAAATTACTAAGAAAAAAGGAAATGAAACTTTCCGAACTCTACTTAGTGGGAAGACTTACTATGATTTATTTCTTAAAACAGTAAGTATCCTGGAGGGTCTGAGACTAGAAGGAATTTCCTGAAGAGCTAAATAAAATTCGTTGATGTTTGGTGTCTACTCAAGTCAAGTCAAGTTTCCTCAGTCTGAATTCTCAATGAAATACTCCAGGAAGCTATTTTTTTTTTTAGAAGCAATCCTAGTACTTAGAATAAGAAATTAAGTAGACATACATAATCATCAAAATGGCAAGGTATGGTCAGACAATAGAATACAAAGTCAGACTATCAATTAGTTTCAGAGTATCTTCAAGAAATTGTCTCAAATAAGTATTCAATTTCTGAACAGAAACACGTAGTATACATTGTGAAAAATTTTAAAAACTGGTAAAGAAATTGAGAGGCACATGCTTACTTGGATACTTTTTGGATGAGAGAATCTGTCTAAGAAGAAGCACACCAATATGTACACATAAAACAGTGTGAAGTCATCATGCTTTAAGAACAAACTAGAACCATAGAATTTTTACTATATTTATCAGAGAGAGAATTGACTCTTCATTTTTTTTTCTTTTCCAGCAAATTCAATCAAACAAAGGAAACCCAAACTTCTGTTGCCTCCTGCTCAGAGTGGCAGTTCATCCACAATGATTGTCCTCAAAGGGGAAACCCTGCTGCTTGAGTGTTTTGCAGAAGGCCTGTGAGTACCCTGGCCTCTGTCAGCCCTCTTCCACATAGTGTTTTAAAGACTGCAAAACAAAGACCTTTGCTGCATGCTTGTTCTTAAGTTACTACTTTTAAAAACATAAAGCCTCTTCCTGTTTCTCTGGGGGAAAAAAATTTTGATTCCTTATACAAACTTCAGGCTACAACTGAAGTTGACTTATAAGTACCTTTCTTTATGGTGGGATGCAGGGATCAAAAAAAAAAAAACATTCGTGCTCTATTGCTGTCCTTAGAGTATGTGTATTAGTAGTCACCCCATCTGCCCTTAAGCCCTTAAGTCCTGTATTTTCTGTTGTCTTTATTCTCTTGCCAGACTCTGGTTTACAGGGACTAGCTAAACTGTTACAGTACTTGGGGAGGGGTCACAACCTGTGTGCTAAGCCAGGTCCAGCCACTCATCCTCAATAAGTCCATTAAAAGAGTTAAATTTATAGAGGAAAACAGAAAAGATTTCTTCAATATGCCCATATTTTGAAGAAAGAACAAGGGATTTGAAGATCCCTCCTGGGTCTGTCTTCTGATTCTGAAGTGATACTCAAGTTTAAACGGAGCTCTAATGATGTGCACATTGAAGAAATCCCTGCAAGGTGTGGTCCCACATACCATTGACTCATCAGTCATTGTCTGAATTTCAGTCTCATCCTGTCATGTGTTACAGCAAGTTGTTAGAACTGTGAGTCTTCCGAAAGAGAAGTTCCCCCTCTGGCTAGCCTCTTTTCTTTCTCCCAGCATGAGATTTCTTGAGAAATTCCCATTTCTTTGAGGTCCATTGATTCATTGGTTTGAAAGTCTTAGAATCTCTTTCATTTCTGCCAGCCCATTACACTACTCTCTTTTTTTTTAATTTCCAAAGTCCTCTATTTTTATTTCCCCTTTTGTGTTTTGGGCAAAAACAGGATCAGATCACTAAATTTAGGGGAATAGCACATCAAAAACTGATTGACTTCCTCATATTTCCAAGATCAGTGCCCTGTATAAGGTCTTCCACCAAAGCCCTAAGGGTTGACATGTTGTCATCCCTAAAATTGTTGCCTCAGAGGAGCTACTATTGTACATTTATGTGATTGGTGCCATGGTCATACTAGTTTGCCTGTTTCTACAAGTATTCCGCCGATTTAACAGTCTCCCATTATGAATGCTGTAGAGAAAGGCATTTCATCTTTCAGTTTATTAATTTGAAATTCAAATCATTTTGCAAGTAATGAAAGTCTTTTTAATCAACTAGGATTTGAAATATATTAAGTTGTGTTACATTAGTTAGTTATTGAAAGTAAAAATAAAAAATAAAATCCACCTTTGTTCATAATTTAGTGAAAAGTCTGAATGACTTGTTTCAAGTTAGATTGTGAAGCAAAAGGAACTATTTTAATTATTGTACAACTTCTACAGACTTTACACATTTTTCTTTCCTGCCAGGTTACTTACAAGCCTTAAGTCACCAGTGTTGACTGATAAATTATTTCAATATGTTGTCATATGACCTCTATGGAAAAAGTCTGGTGTCTATGTGTGGTTTAATAAGATTTATTTTAATTTTATTTGCATGAGTATTTTGACTGCAAGTATGTCTGTGCACTACATGTGTCCAGTTCCCAGAGAGGCAAGAAAAGACAGTAGAGTTTCAGAGGTGGTGAGCCACTACGTGGATGCTGGGAATTCAAGCCAGGTCATCTGCCAGGACAGGAGTGTTCCTACCTGCTAAGCCTCTCTCTGGCCCTGCTCTGTGAGAAGGTCAAAGCCTTCCCATCTGCTGTAACTTGTGGCTAACCACCTGGTGCCAGCATGTATTTGGTGTGGTAGAAATTAAATGCTTTCAGGCTCTGTCGCTGTTCATGCTAACTCAGAGTCCGGCAACGCTTTAGAGACTCCTACCCCTCATCTCCCGCCAAGCTATCATTTACTTCCTGAGGGATTTGGCATCTGTTCATCTTATCCTCCACTTGCAGAAACATTACTCCTGTGTGCCTTGTAGAGACTGGAGGGTTGGAAATGCACACAGGAAAGAACATGGATATTATAAGAGTTGTTTGCCTTTGCAACATGAGGATTCCTGATACTCTGTTATAGGAAGGGATTTTTTCCCCTCTTCACTGGTTTGAGTGGGGCTATTTATTCTGGTTGATCATCTTCGGAATGGAGGCAATATAATCAAAAAGTTTTCTGAAGGATGCCATGTGTATCTCAAGGAAGTTTAACATCACATGCATTCGGGAGTAACAAAAGTACATATCTCTAACCATTGTGGTATTATTTTGTCCTGTACATCCTTGACTCATGTTGCCTCTCAACATTCCCTGGCTGTAATTATCCCTACTTGCCCCTTAGGCAAATGAAGCCCACAGAGTTTATGCTGAAGGAAAGCACTATTCCAAGCTGACTGAAACCAAAAACACTTTCAACACCACCATATTTTGAACAAACAAACCCTTTCGGTTTAAACAGGGAAAACAGTGAGGAGCACTATCTGCTCTGAGGTGGTTACAAAACTTATACACTTCAGTAAATAATGATATTAAAAATGTCTGTGCTGTTATTTAAGAATGCTTTCTATGCAAGCATGAGGACCTGAGTTTGAACCCTCACCACCCATCTGAAAAGTCAGACAGGGCTGCAAACCTGTAACTCTAGCAGTGGGAGGAAGAAGGGGACAAGTGACAGAGCAGGACACCAGACACTCTCCTCTGGCCTGTGCTCTTATGCACATGTAAGCACACTGACACATGCAACACATGTGCGTGCATGCACGTGCGTGCACACATGCACACACACACACACACACACACCAAATGATAATATATCGGGGAAGCTTACAGAGACATACACATCTTGGAAAGCTTAGAGTTTATGGATTCCTGGAGATGGGGAAGAGTTAAATGATATTTTGACTCTCATTAGGAGAGGAAGGTGTTGAGATCTTAGTGTCAGTGGGGAGAATTTGCTGCTTTAATAATTCACACTCACACTGTGTGAAATAAGAGCAGCCTCCTCATGAATTTAAAACCCATATGATATCTGTGTCTCCTACATGTTTAATCAAGAATCAGAAAAAAAATTACCCACATAAGAACTGGCATAAATATTTGAAGCTATGAAATAATGTATGGTGGTGTGCCAAAAAAGTATTAAACAACACTTTTCCCTCAACCTATCCTTGTTACAATTCTGTTAGCAAATGCTCTTTAAAAATAAAGTAAGTCAACAAAAAAATCCAGAATGGTCAAGAAGAAAACAGGAAATTTTCTAGTTGTATAAACCATGCCTACTTGTGATATCATGTTGCTCTGATTTAAAATCATTTAATTTGATTGTATGAAGTGAAAAGTGTTAGACAAGTGATTGTTTTCAAGAATAGAAGTAAAGGTAGAATTTGAGGAAAGTGAGATCCTGCATTGCTAAAACATAGACTCATGAAAATCTGTTTGGGAGGAACTGGGGTCCGGGGCAGTCTGTCACTTGGCGGATTGCCATTTTGACAGATGGTATAAAAAGCAAGCAGGTAGGAAACTTGGACTCCGAGTACTGCTTGGTGGCATGATCTCTAGAATTCAACAGCTAATCAATAGACTCCCACATGTATCTATCTGTCTGCAATGACCATTTCCTGAGGAAATCTGCCATGTGCTCTGTACGTGGTCAAAAAGTGAGTTGTTGTTTCAAGTCTGTGAGGTTAATTCCGTTGGCCTTGAGAGAAAATACCAGATGTTTGTAGAAAGAACGCCATCTTTACCTACTATTTAGTGTTTCCTAATAATTGAGTTATTCTATTCATTTTCTTTGTGAACAAGTAATTTGAAATAACAGAAACAATAATTATTGGTGCTAGAGATATAGTTGAGTAGTTAAGATCACGGCTGTTCTTGCCGATGGCCTGATTTAATTCCCAGGACTCACATGGTCTTTCACAATCATCTGTAGCTCCAAGTCTAGGGGATCCAATGTCCTCTTCTGGTCCCCATGGTCACCAGATGTGTATGTAGTGCACATACACCCATGCAGACAAAACATAAACATAAAATTATAATAAATAAATTTTGAAAATTTTTATTTAGTTGGTGCCCACGAGCATATGTTAAGAAGGATGAATTCCTTTGAAAAGCAGAAATCAAATAGAAACAGCTAAGGAAAATACAAGCTTTGAATCTGATAAATGTTAGTTACTTAGCTTCATGGAGCTTCTGTTTGATGCTGGTAAAATGATCGCAGTAAGACAGCTCACCCTTAGAGAGTTCTCAGAGTAGCAATTAATAACCAGCAATAAGGTAAATAACAGAATTAGGTGTTTTCCAATCTTGTAGGAGGCCAAAACAAAGTTGTACTCAATTATAGTTGACTATCAGTGACATTTTAAAGTCAAAGTGTCATAGAATGTCACTTTTCCATCCTTCATTTTTAGAAGAGATTATTCCACAAATCGCTTGGCTTGGCCCATGCTCCTGTTTCCCTTCATTGTAAGTGAGAGAAAGGTGTTGGCATGTAACAAGGTTATCCCTGTGTTTTGTTTGGCTTCTGTTTGTTTTGATCTACCGTGCCCATCTCCCCAATGCTTCTGAATTAGGGAGATTCCGAGTTCTTGTCTCCTTCCTTCTGTTCCCCTCAGAGCAGGAAAGCAAGGCCTGTGCTGTTCACTCCAAGCTGCCAAGAATGAAAGAACTGCTCCTCTATCCAACCCACGCATTTGGCTCCACTCCCAACCACTTTAGCCAAAATTGGCTTCATTAGGATTCAAGGGGAAACTGTGGTTTTCCTTTGCTGGCTGTTGGAGACTACTGTGCCATGTTGTTGAGAGTCATACAGGGAAGGGGAATCTCTTGATGCCCAACCATAGGGAGAATGTCACACTTGAGAAGTGTCTTCAGTTATTCGTCTCACATCCGGCTTCATTGATTCAGCACTCAGGTGGATTTAGCTCACTTAGGGGGACAAGACTGCTAGGGAGTCATCCACTAAGGGAGCTCCTGATGAAACATGCCTGTTCAAAGCCCTGCTTTCCACCCTGGTAAGTCCTCTGGTGAAGCTGATAAGACACAGTGACTGTGTAAGGCAACTTGGTTATGGTGTGCCCTGAGGAATTGTTTGTAGTTGACAGTTGCTTATCTATGCATTCATTCTACTTCTTGCAGACCAACTCCACAGGTCGAGTGGAGCAAACTGGGTAGCGAATTACCAAAGGGAAGAGAAACGAAAGAAAATTATGGGAAGACTTTGAAGATCGAAAACATCTCCTACCACGACAAAGGAAATTATCGCTGTATAGCTAACAACTTCTTGGGGAAAGCCAGTCATGATTTTCATATCATAGTACAAGGTATGTTCTCCATTAAGATTTAAATTTCTGCTTCAAAGAGATGAATAAGTGTACACAAGTCACAGACCTTTCCTTCAACAGTTTATGGGTTAAAGTTGATCATTAGTTTAGGGTTTTAGTTGTAGTGTGGGCACTGAGTAACACTATACTTAATTAATCATGTTTATAATTCATCTCCACAAACCGAATGGAAGGCACAAATGTCAAGTAGAGAGTTAATGTTAGGGGCTGAACATACACTCCTTCCAGAGTCTGTTTAAATGGTCATTAAATCTACCCTCCTGTAAGATTTTATTGCATGGAATGATTTTTATTATAATGTGCACATGATGCTCATAAATGAGGTCATGATCATGAGGTCAAACATTATAGAAAGGATTATAGAAGGAGGTTTGGACTGCTTCCTAATCTTTTCACTCAGCCCCCTTGCCCAAGGTCACTGGCTTCCATTTCTCTATTCCTCAGGTTCTTTGTCAAAGAAATGGTGGCTGTAGATGAATCGTCTTGATGTTATCCTTATTCCAGCATTTTGCACTGTGTACCTTGGTATTCAGTATATCACTGATAGAGAAATATAAAGAGACTATACAGTGCAAACATTGATTGTTTATCAAATAGTACCAAAATGCATTGCATTCATCTTCTGCCCATAAATAACTGAACTGTTTTTTGAATATTTGAGATTTTCTGTTATTTGTTGTAATCAATAATAAGTAAGGGATGATGACATCATTCTCATGAAGTAGCAGCCAGAGAAATTAGAAATCCAGGCCTGCCTGTGGTGCAGAAGCAGAGGCTACATGATCCTGCTGTGGTTTGATTGACTCCCACTGCTTCCCGTGGGTGGGGTCACACCTGGGGTTTCCCTCTGCGGTTTCCTGAACTGTATTGATCAGAGGAATGGATTAGTCACGACATTGTAATTTTGAACTTATTTAGTGCTGGGTTGGCTTAAGTATGGAAGGAAATCATCTCTGCCAGGCTATTTGTTCGTGAACTGCAGCTGCCAGGTTTCCATAATGTTCTGCTAAAGTTTACCCTTTAAAGCTTCGTTTCTAAAGTTCAAGGAGCACGTCAGTAACGGTCTTTGCCCCTAATTGCTGGGAAAGAACAGAGGCTAAGCACAAATTCCACTCACAAGCAAATATTACAATCATTGACTGAATGGTGCATCTGTTTGCCAACACCTTCTATACTGTTTTCTTAGTTAAGGTGAGAAGAGAAAAATAAAAAATAAAAGTAATTTTAAAAGGAATTTATTTGTTTATTTTTGGTACAGCGAAGCAAAACCAATATAGGAGAGAAAGTAGAGTTAAACATTACCATCCACATCTGTCCACAATAATAGATTGCTCTGACAACAAATTATTCAGAGATACTCAGCAAAAGTACGAAAGACATGCCTATAAATTTACAGATTTTTATATAATCTGTATATAAAGTGTATATAATGTGACACTGTATATAATGTGGTAGTAGCTTGTAATGGGGATATTCCCTAGCCCCAAGTCCTTCCATGGTGCTCTCTCTCTCTCTCTCTCTCTCTCTCTCTCTCTCTCTCTAACCAGACACACATAATTATTAGCTGCTTCTACTCTGAGTTGCTGACTGTTAGAAATCCTTCCAGATGGCTGCTGCGTTGCTACGGTAGCTGAATATTTTAACAATCTGGCCTCAGTTTTCTTGACTATTAAGACCAAGGCTTTCAAAAGAATTGCAAATGTTGCAAAAAATATTATACAAGCAAATTAATTATACAACTTAAAAGGTTGACTGTATATATATACATATATATGTATATATATATATAGAGAGAGAGAGAGTTCTTGAACAAATTATCTTCACTATTTTCAAAACAGGTATTAGTGATGCTGAGACATAAATATTGTTTTTATGAAGAATATCGAATCATTATGCTTTTGTGTGAAAATACTAAGTGCACTCAGATGCCTGTTTCAGCTTCTCCTTACACCTGCATGAGAACAGTGGACTGTCTCCAAGAAGAATGTTCTAGAAGTATTTTCCGTCCTAAAGCAAGTAAACAATAACTATAATGTACACGAATCATCAAGAGAGACGACTTCACCTTAATAACATTTTCTTTTGTCTCTTTTCTCTGCCTCTTTCTTTTCATTCTTTTATTTAGAAACCCAAATTAAATCAGGACGGTCATCTGGGGGAAAGCAGTACTACCATATACTTTGAAGTTCCAGCCCATTTTGACAATCTCTTGTGTGGCTATTAGAAGCATAGTTTTTGATTTTCTTCCCAGGTCTGAAGCTCAAATTCTGTGAGCTTGTACTTTAAACTACAGCAGTCTAAATATGTAACCAGATTGCAAGTCAAATGCCTTCTTTTGCACGAGGAAAACAGCTGTGATGCCCTAATTAGATGTCACCATATTTTCTGGGAACCTTTCAATATGAATTATTGCATATGCAGTAGCAAGAGGTATAATACGGGCTAGTGAAATGGCCCAGTGGTAAAGGGGATTGCAGCAAACCTGAATTATGTCTCAGGAATCAACACAAACGTAAAAGGAGGGAACTGACTCTATACAGCTACCTGTCACAGGTACACTATGGTATGGACACACACTCAAAAATAATAATAATAAAGAAAAAGATACATAAGACTGTCACATGAAACAAAATTCCAGACATCTGAATATTAGTCACACTTAAACTGATAATATGAAAGAAAATCGCTCATCTACCATTTTTATGTTGTCCACTATGGAATCATTTGAGACTGTTGAATTTTAGAAATAAAACATGAATCACTTTTGCACATCTGTTCAATCCTTAATTCTATCCAAAGTGCCCTGCAGTGTCTATATGATGCCATGAGCTGAAACTCAGTCCAGTCATTGATACTGTGAACAATAGCTTATTTTGAATTAACAATTTTCTTTCATAAGAAGTTGGTGAAATGCTTACCTAATGTACACAAAGCCCTTGGTTCAATCCCAAGCACACATAAATTGGGGCTGGTGGTGCACCCCTGTGTTCCCACCACTTGGGATGCAGAGGCAAGAGAATCAACAGTTAAATGTCATCCATTGCAAGCAGCGGCCTACCTGGTATACACAAGACACTGTCGCATGAAAATGAAGAATATAAATATTAAGCAGACAATTGTGATCAAAACAGTTTTACTAAGAAAATGTCTACTACGTAATTTGTTTCATAGATATCAAGTTTCCCATTTTGTCTGTTTTTTTGGTCTCATGATAAAAAAAGTTGTTAGTGTTTTTACAGTGTTATCAGAATTCTGGCATTGGCATCTCTGTTTTGGACACCATAAATTGAATTTATCATCTTGTGTTTGTTTACAATCATGACTAATTCGGTGCACTTTTTATCTGTTACCACATATCTCAGGCATGTGGACAAAAGAATGGGACCCTGTGGCTTTTTCCCCCAACTATCAGGTTTATCTATCATTTCCTTTATCTTTCGCCTCTCCTGTAATCGCCTTGACTAGATCTTACCCATCCCACAGGTGTGTGATTTGAGTTTTGATAAACTTCTGCTGGTCCTCCGACCTTGCATCTCAGCCACCCTGAGTTTCTAATCAAGCTACAGGCTGATAATAATGTCTTTTGTGAACCAAGTAGTAGTTAAATAATATGTTAATTAAATCTATGTCATGGGAGAGTAAATGACCAAACAGCAAGAATTATTTTCATTCTAATGCGCTTTAGTTTTTTTTTCTTATGTCTTTTCCACAGAAGTCTTTAGATATTTATCAAGTTCTACTTAAAAGTTCACCCTACACATCTTTTCTTAGAGAGGCATAGTGCCAAATCAGGAAGAAATAAAACAACAAGCTTCTGTCCTGGCTCTCCAGAGGTCATCAGTCTGAGAACACTCAGTTCTGTCTTCAGAATTGAACTACTGAATATTCAGCTAGAGAAGTCAACAGTGAGAGTCTCTGCCTCGGCTGGATGTAAAGCAGTCATAGATACGTTTTAGGTCTCAAGTTTCATGTCGATGTTTACATCTGTTTGAACCAGTAGCTTAAGGGAAAAAAAGGGAGAGAAACTTCTACAGAAATGTGGAAGTGTCTTTAAATCCTATTAAAACGGCCAGGTTAATCTATAGTAATGGTTCCGATCAACTACCAAATGTTTGAAACCTCCTGAGCGAGTTGATATATATAGGATTGGGGGGATGTTGGTAATGCGAAGGCTTGTCTGGACCACTGAACTGACTTTGATTCCTAGTTATACATGTAGGATAACAGTGGATAAGAAACTGCCTCCAGAGCTTTGCCTCTCTCTCTTTCCCCCAGAGGCTCTGTTCTGAGATCCACGATGTGGCAGGAACAGGAAATGAGGATTCTTTCACTGATGACCCTGAAAAAAAAAATTAGATGAATTCTCCAAAGCTCAGTATTATTTCTGTAAGGTCAAAGGTTAGATGAGGTGATACCTCACCTCTTTATTTGATCCTAACAGTAATATGTCTTTACACACACACAAAGGTTAATGAAATTCTTGGGATAAGGCTAGTGATTAGAAAATTGATTTTCATTATGCAGTGGGAATGGAAGAATATTTTCATTATTTTTATTTTTCACACTTGGGAAGGAAGAGTCATCATTTCTACTATGAACACAATGGCTTGCACGTTCCTCAGGCTTTGCCTGTAACTTGCACATGTTGAATTTCTTTATTGTTATATAAAAAGAACAACAACAACAACAACAAAAACATTTAAAAGGAAAGAGCCTAGAAAGATGTTTCAGTGGTCTGGAAGTCATGATGCCCTTCCAGAGGAACTAAGTTTGGTTTCCAACATGCATATTGAACTGACATCCACCAATATTCATACACCCTACACACAAATAAAAATCTTCAAAATAATAATGACATCAAGGCACTCTTCCCTTCAGAAAGTGACCTACATTTCTAATTTAGTCCATCGTATTTTATGCTAAATACCTCAATATTTGTAGATAAATCTGTTAAAAACAGATGTTTAACATTGAAATTAACAGTGGAGCCCACATCCTGTGAGGAGATTCTAAAGGCATGTCTCTTGCTTACACATAGACTTGACAAAATTCTTTGTATGCGTGTTTTCTTTTTTAGGAATTTGGGGTTTTTTTCCCACTGTGAAATCCCCTTTCCTTCCTTTACTAAAACAATTTGAAAGATATTTTCTTTTTATACATGTTCATATCTTTAAACAGTTTCCTTTTTGAATCAAGACAGAAATCCACAGTACTTGGGGAAAAATGACCAAGCTAAAGTCGATGGGAATTACTACCTCAAAGTTTTATTAAGCTACTTCTGAGAATAATCATCAACCTTGTACCTAGGTCTGGAGCAATGGCTCAGTGTTTAAGTGCACTAGCTTCATTTTCAATGGTCCCAGATTTAGGTCCCAGCATCAACATGGTAGCTGACAACTGTCTGTAATTTCAACCAAGGGGTCTGATATCTTCTTCTGGCCTCTATGGGCACCAGGCATCCAAGAAAGTGATACACAGTCACACTTGCAGGCAAAACACTAATAAATAATAATAATAATCCATGAACATTTCAAGTCTTTTATTCACTGCTGGCATGGGGCTACTCTGAAAGTGACAAAATATGACAGTGATGTTTGAACTGAAGACACTTGTCTTGCTTTGTTCTGATACTCCAATCTGATTTACACTTCTGAAGGTTTATGTATCAAAAAATAGAGATAATTTATTTCTGTTTTTCCTGCTTTGTTTCAAAAGAAAAACAGTCAAATGTTCCTATCAGGTTCCATCCCTACTCCTTTGCAAGCAGAACATTTCTTGCAAATTATGTTTTCCAAGTTCGTAAGTTATGGAAATTGGTATAGATAAGATATGTAAATACTGGTGTCAATAATCAATGAACAAGGTTTTTGCAAGCTTTTAAAACGCTCTCCAAGTCTATTTCTTGCATATCACCATTTTCAGCTACCTTGCTGCAGCTTGAGCAGAAACAGTAGCCAGTCCTAAGCCAGTCCTAACTGAGCTACCATCTGCTTAGTCCTCCTGCTTGTTTCTGTAAGTGAAATATATACTTGAGGAGCTAAAGCGGCTGTGTATTTTTAGTGTGTTGTTTTATTTACATGTTCAGAATGTAATGTAAGTACACCCACACTCACCCCCCCACACACACACACACACGCATAGACCTTAACATGCCCACCTTGCTTTGCAGAACCGAACCAAAAGAGCTGCTGTGGACTACTTTGTGGTGTCTGCCCTCTGCTGGTATATGGTAGAAATGCAGACCTGTTACAAAGGTTTGCTCTTGTGCTATAGAGACACTTTCTGAAAATCTCTTTGTTTTGTGTTCAGAGCCTCCACGCTGGAAAAAGAAACCTCAGAGTGCAGTGTACAGCACAGGGAGCAGTGGCATCTTGTTGTGTGAAGCGGAAGGAGAACCTCAACCCACGATCAAATGGAGAGTCAATGGCTTCCCAATTGAAAGTGAGTTAAAAACAAATTTAAAAAAATTAAATAAATAAAGACCCAAGAGTGACAGGGTGGGGAAGACAACAATTGGATGGGGCGGTATATCATCAGACAGTTCGGTGATGTATGAAGTATACCAGAAGGGGGTGTATTAGCATAATACGTTGCCAAAAAAAATCAACAAGTTCTTCTTTATGAGTAATGTGATGGATGGGAACCAACACAGTGAAAGAGGCATGGAAAGTGTTTATGCACACACTAACACACTAACATAATTCCATATATATATATACATATATATTACATATATATAACCATATATATATAACATAATTATATATATTAATGACCTGGTGACTGAATTAGAAAAAGGTCTAACACAAACTGACACTTGCTCCTGACCATGAGAAAGAATGATAGAGTAACCTAATGGATGAAAGCATAAGTTGGAAGTTAAAATTTCTTGCACCCATGCAACATCCCCATCCTGGACGCTGCCCCTACTACACACTTCGGCCACACAATGCCCCTACTACACACTTCGGCCACACATTGCCTCCATGCTGTGGTCAGGATATGTGAAACCTGAAACTCTATGTGACGCAACAACTCCCAAACTACTGATAACTCTAGAATATCCCCTTTGGTCTGGACCACATTTGCTGGGCCATGAGAAGATGGGAGTGGACCAGGGTTGAGGATCTAGTCTCCTCACTGCATCAGTCTCGAAGTCCCTAAGCTTTAAATTTGTACCCAGTGCTGAGGCTATTGTGAAGGTATTTGTTCAGGGCAGGAGGCCAGAACCTGTATTATGTGTTAAGTTCTGGTTGAGTAGCTCCATGGAGAAAAAGAATATTAAGTGCAGGTATATGGCTTCCCAATGCCTTTGCCCTGGTTCCCCATTTTAAGCAGGCTTCCTTGTGGTTCACAAACCTACATCCTTTCTGGGCTATGGCTCATTCTGGTCCTATGTCCTTGAGCTGATCAAAGAATTCCCTGAGCTTAGGTTTCTTAAGCTGCAGAATGGAAGCCATAGTAGTGTTTGAAGGAGGTAAATTAGTCAGCTACCTACGGTTGTGATATATCTGCAGAGGTCTCTGATGGTTTATGAACTCTGGAGCCACACTGCCTGTGTTTGCATGGCCATCCTAACGTTTACTAGCTGTGTGACAAGAATGTGACTTACCCTCTCAAAACCTGTTTCTTCATAAGCAAAACAGAGATGAAAATAGCTGTGACCTGTGGGTTCATTACATGGCTCAAAGAAAACACCATCCAAAGATATGGCACAAAACAGCAACCCTGGGGAGTAGATAAAGGAGGGTGAGAAAGTCAGTCCCCGCTGCTTGCATCCCTGACCTCATACTGAAAAGCCTTAAGGGTAGGACCAAGGCAGCCAACTTGTGAATCCTCCAGATTAGTACTGCTTTCTGTCCTGGTCAGAGACGTTTCTGTTTGTAGTAGAGTGTTAATATACAGAACTATAACTGGACAAAGTGGCGAGAATAATTGGGTGTATGTAGCACGAATAATGAAAATCCAGAGACAGAAATTGGGATTCAACCCGAAAACCAGAAAAGCAAGGCAGCCAAGCTACTAGTCTTACCTCTACCAAGGTTGAGTGACCACCAACTAAGCAGACTAAGCTTCCTTCTCTTCTCATTTTATATTCTCTCTGGTGCTGGGATTAAAGGCATGTGCCTCCCTAGGACTGGGATTAAAGGCGTGAGCCACCACCACCTGAATTTGTTTCTGCATTGATCTTGTGTAGCCCAGGGTAGCCTTGAACTCACAGAGATCCATCTGATTCTGTCTCCCAAATCCTGGTATTAAAGGTGCATGTCACCATTACCTGACCTCTGGTGACTTTAGCTTTGCCTCTGGTCTTCAGGCAAGATTCATTTATCATAATAAAAATAGCATACCACTATAGCTGTGAGCCCTCAGTCTTAAATGAGATACCTATATTTCCCCCTGTGTTCTGTGGAATATCACAGGGGAGCAACCTGAAGCAATGTTAGAGCTACAGAATAGGAGGAGCTATGAAATGCTGTTTTCTAGACATGAAGTGACCATTGCACACATGAACTCACAGCACATATTACTAACTATAGGAGATCTGTCAGTCAAAATTCCAGCATGCGTGAGTGCTTTCGGTTTATGAGGCATCACCTCTAGCTGAGGAGTTATTGGCATTTGATGGATGCTAAAGGAGAGGAGACATTTTTCTTTTGGTGTATAGCCGCCAGTAGGTTACTTATGCTTTAGTGGATAGGCCCACCCATGTACATACAGATAGCACTAATCTGATTTCAGTGGGTTATAAAAAGATAAAAGAAGACATAAAGTTGAAAGGGGTCATGTTGTTGAGAAATTGGTACATAGGAAATAACTAGGATCTGGCGAGAGTATAAAGTTCAAGTGCAAAGTAGCTTTATAGGTATAAAAGTATATACTTTGAGGGATGAGGTAGGTAAGGAAGCCAGCTGTTATCAGCAGTCTGAGTGCTTTGGAGTGGAGAGTTGAGTAAATGAAATGACTCTCGAGGTATGTGTGTCTGGAGAAGGAAAAGTAAACAGTCCAGAATGGCCTAAGTTTGGGGCATGAGGAAGGAACATGGTGAAATCATTCAGCAGATGAAGGCATCAGAGCATAGGAAATGACAAGGCCAGACTAGGGTCTTGGGATTCTAATGATGACAGATGGACAATCCCAGAGTTTTGAGTGGAAGAGTTTGAGAAGTGTTATATTTGGCTTGTTTGTGAAGTACCAGAGTCTGATCTGAGGTCCCCTCCACATGCCACACAAGTAATTTATGACTGAGATATATCCCAGCTCTTATAAATTATGTGTAAAAGGAATTTTCTGGTCTCTGGATGAAGCCTTTACCTCTATGACTACAAAAAGGTGAAAGACACGGCGGCCTCAGGCTAGGCCTTTCTCATAGTGGTTAGGTAGTGGGTATTTCTGAAGTAGAGCCAATGCAGGTGTTAGAGGACGAAATGAGAATAATTATATTTGCAGGTTATTCATATTCATAGGAAGCACTGAAAGCAGTGGCGGGGCAAAGTGTGCCATTGCCACAGCTCTTTAGCATAGCTTTCTTCCATTATGTGCAATAGGGTCACCACGTGATGATGCTTGGGCTGATAGAAGGATCAGAAATATTTTTGAACTTATACTTTAAGAAAATCATATTCCTTATGAGTTTTATTTCAGAATTAATCCAAGTGAATTCAGTGGTTATAATCCTTCCCACAGAGATGGCATCCAGTATTTCTGAGAGAACCTTGGAAAAACAAATCCCTTTCTTCTTCTCTTTTCAGAGGCAATGACCAAGGCTCACTAGCGTTAGAGTACTTGAAGACACAACACAAGTAAACTCATGGCCAAAGCTGAACTGAGAAAAGTGAATTTGAATAGAGTGTTCTCCAACCTTATTGTCTTATTCTCATTACTCTTATGGAAGAGATTAATCTAGAAAGAATTCAGGGATTGTATCAAGACTAGTATATTTTAGTAGATACCATTAAATGTCTTGTTTTCTTTAGACTTTAGAACAGTTACCTTTTGGCAATGTATGGTATACTATGAGGTTTCCATATGCACTCTCAGGAGAGCTGAGCAAGGGTTAGGTGTTCTTTCATCTAAACGTGAAGATTTGGTCTTAATTCTTCCTTTCCAATGCTGTGTTGATTCAAAGCTGCCCTTGAGGCCCATGAAATAAGGGGGAACACAGGTGTGACAAGATTAGTTCTGCCAGCCTGTGTAATAGCAGAGGAATAAAGGAAGAGATCAGAAACTTAATCTCTCATAGTGTCCTTGACGATTTCTGTCGTGCAGAACCTAGAAAGGCTATATATCTCATTGATCCTGAAGAAGTAGCTGATAAATTGCTTCAATGGTTTATGTTAGCTTTCTGATATTGCTGCAACAAATTTCCAGAAGTTTGTTCACCTGAACAAATACAATTTTTCTGTTGTATAATTCTGAAAGTTAGGAGCTCTGTACAAGACTCTCGGCAAGGAAATCAAAGTACCTTTCCTAATTTCCCTCTTCCTCTTTACCCTACCTCAGTGCTTCTATCTCCATATCCTTTTCAGTTATTACAGGCTACCTAGATTCTTCACATATGGCTCTCTTTTTGTCCAACTTCGTAGTTGACATTATTGTGACCATGGCCATTTTCTCATGGTCACACCTTTCTGTTTTTATAACCAGACAAGAGTTTCTGATTTTCAATAAGCAATGTGGTTACATTGGACCCACCAGACTAACAGCATAACTGCTCTATGTCAAAGTTGTCAGCCTTATTCACATCTGGGTGTTTTTTTTTCCTAGTTGAGGCAAATAGCTATAGATCTGTGAGTGAAAATTGAACCTATATTTCCGTATACTGACTGGAAACTTTCATGAAAAAAAAATGTCATCCTTTCTACTTATTTCAGATATTTCCACAAGTATTTACTCACGGGCTTCATTATGCCTGTTCTTTGGGTGTTAGTAATAATACATTTATATATCTGCACAGATAAAAAGAACGCAGCTGACCAAAGGAATGCATGTATTATTGTTCTAGTGAGAAAAAGAATATATAAAAAGTCTCCCAATACGTAGTAGGTCTTTTTTTCCCACACCATGAACTTTAACATAATTGTTGTTTTGTATGATGGAAATACAAGATAGAAAATATCTATTGATGTTGTTTAAGCTAAATCTTTTTCAATTGTTGTTCCTCACTCCATAATTCGAGCACAAATGTTCTTCTTCCTGTCTGTTGTGTCAAAGCAAGAGTTTATTTAGAACTCAAGCTGTTGCCAGAAGCTGTAGGATACTCATTTTCTCTGAAAGTGATGTTTCCAAGCCTTGTAAATGCTGACATAGCAGGCAATGAGCAGAGGCAATTTCATAAAGCATGGGCTATACCCAGTGGGAATTTTTTGGCTCTTAATAAGTGCACATGAACATTAGGTGTGCTAAATTTCAATAGATAATTGCATTTTGGATCAATAATAGTATGTTTGAATGTGTTTGTAAAATTTATTAAAATATAATTACATTATCTCCTTCTAATTTTTTGTTGGACCTTCTGTTTGAAACTCACATCTGTTTTAGTCATTATTATTACATACAAACACACACACACACACACACACTCATGATGAGCACACACATACACACAAGAAAAAACATAGAAATCCAAGATATTGAATCTATTCGCTGTTTTCTGCATCAACATGTTTCTAGGACTAACCTCTGATACAGTTATCCTATTATTCCTTATCAATAAAAAAAATCAGGAGTCAGATATCGGGGTCAGAACCTGAATGATCAGAGAAAGGGCAGAGTAGTGAGCAATGACCTCCTATCTTTTCTGTTCCTCCAATCCAGTAGCTTGAGACCATCTCTAAAGCCTTATTACTTTCTGTCTCTCTATCTGTCCTCAGTACTCCAAAACCTCCACGCGTAATTTTGGTCCACTAGTGGCTAGCACCACCCTCTGATTCAAAGTAAACTTTGTTGTCAGAATGCAATCAAAATATCACATAACATTTCTCCTTTTTTTGATAAATAAAAAGGCAAAGCTTTAATTCTAACACAGTAAAACCATATAAAAATAAAGAACAACTATCAGGTAAGAATTATACTTGCAATGTTTAGTCCACTTGCATTTGGGAAATTCTGAGAAAATACTCCATTATCTAGCCTATTTTGGTGAGTCCAATGTTTTGGACCTAATTTACTTTTTATTCTAACTTATACTACCATCCCAAAACTATTCTTTTATTTCTCTCAACTTTAGACACTTAACACTTCTTTCATGAGTTTCTTTGCTGAATTTGGTAACAAAGAAAATTATAACTATTACTATCTAGTCTTCAACTTCATGAGAGACCCGAGAAGGATACAATGTTACCTGAGTAGACATATAGTGCAGAGCGCACAACTTCCAAAACTAAGGAATGAAAGAAACAGCTGACTGCCTGGACAGTCACCCCAAGTTCCTCTGTAATGTTGGAGCAGCCATCTTCGGCCTACTGACCTAAAATATCTGACAGACTTTTCCATAAATCAGAAATTTTGAATGACTGTTCTGTCTTGTCTTGGCAAATTTTAGATGTCACTATTTTTTTTTTTGTCCTGCTTGGACAACATAGTGTCAGCAGTTGAGACAAGAACAACTTCTTGCCCAGTGGCTAACTTTTGCCCCAAAGAAAGTAAACTCCAAATGAGTTTCTTTGATGCCCATTTTCTTCTCTAAAGTAAATTGGTGCTGCCAGTAACAGACATGTCTCATTGTCATAAAAAACCTTATGTTATTAAAACATCTTAAATGCCATATTCTGTAGATCCCTGAATTGTTTAAAGACCACCTGTCTATATCTCTATTTGACCTGGAAAATATATATACTTAATGTGACTGCCAGTTTGACCATAATAGATGACTAACTACCAACCAGTATTTCTTTATTATCCTAAATAGTTTGTAATAATAATTTTCAAGGGCTAGAAATTTATATTACATTGTTAAATGAGCTGCATAGGTATAATACCTTAAAAATAGTATGTACAGAATGTTCTAACAGCAATAAACATGAATTTGTATCAATATACAAAAAATATCTTAAATAAAAATAGAAACATATATACAGTATAACAAAATTGGCCTTAAATTTGCATCAATATGCAAAAATCCATACCAATGTAAAATAAATAAGACTGCTAGTTGTTCTTTATTACTTTAAAAGTAGATTCAATAAACTACTCTTCTAGCCTATCATTTCTCTTCCCCCCTATTTTTCAGGATGAGATCCCTAAAATTTATCTCCTTTGTTCAGTTTTTTTTCCTGATCATTACCAATAACAACTTGTAACCAACCCTCTTAATCGATGACAAATATCCATAACCCACTGAATGACAAAAACTCATCCACCCTACCTCTTGAGAATGTAGGCTTCTTGTTCTTTAGATTGCTTCCTGTTATCTGGGGGATGGTAAAATCTCTGCAGGACCCTGAGAAAATTGAGATAATGGTCAAGACTTGGGAGAGCTAGTTGTATCATTTGTTGCCAGTGTCCGTGTAATGGGAAAGTGTAGGGCTTATCTGAAGTCTTGGCTGGAGTAGTGTATGGAAGTGAACCATCTCAGCTAACTGCTTTGAAGTTGTCCTCAGCAGCTTAGTCCAAAGCTGATCTTGGGTAATATTTGTCAACTTAGTGACATTACTACAATTCAGGTAAAGTCTTTATTGTAGGGTCCCATCATCCTTTTGGAGACATTAAAAGTTGCTGTTCAGAGTGGTCATGGTTCACTGCAGAAAGATATTTGAAATGTATATACAGCATATCTCAGGGATCTTAAAGGACCAAAATTTGTTAAGTACATGCAGAATACATAAACTTAATTCCTAGTTACAAGATTCAGACTCAAGTCCAAAATCATGTATAGAAAGCTAGATTAAGCCATTTTCTAAAATTAGTACTACATATGATCATTAATTTCACAACAGAAAATTTAAACACATACATATATATTAATCTTATAAATTTTGATATAATATTTATATCTTAAAAATTTTGAAGAGTCAAAAGAAAACCAAAGGATTATTAGATTAGTAGCAATAGAATAGTCTTGTAATTTTGGTTTTTCTTCTATTCAATATCACATGGATCTTCTGACATGAGACAGAAATTTTGGATTTTTATTTAGCAAGCATGCTTGGGTTTAGAGCCATAGAGAGCCACACTCAAACTCCAAAGGTCCCTTTCATTTTTAATTGAACTTGAATTTTTTAAAAAAGACCATTTGTCTTATATGTCTACAGACAACAGCAGCATTTGGGAAGATTTATGAAATTTTATCCTATTAGAAATGTGTTATACCATTAGGTAAATTAATTGTTTTTCTTGGGAAATTTCTCTGGATGATTTATCCATTTTCTTCAGATGTCTTATTTGTTCAGTGGTTTTCAGATTCCTTAGTTGGAGACCAAAGCAAAACCTCTTCCTCACCATAACCCGTATACTGGTTTCCATTCTGAGGTCAGCACACCTTTAATGTATACAGGCTGATTTAATTCAGCAGTCTTTTTTTCTATTCTCCGATGTCTCTGCACAGCTGTCATTTTTCATTAACAATTAGAAAATCTAAAGATAACACAATAACATACAGGATTCAGATCCACATGCTCTTTCTTATCTCTGGTTCCAAAATTATTAGATGTGAATAAATACCCTGGAGTGACTTCAGAAATCAGGGAGTAAAAAGGAGATCATTATAGAAAGTGAGGTAAATTGTATTTCTAAAAAGTTGTAGACAGGACAACTACACTCAAAAAGAAGATGAAGAGGAGGAGGGAGTATATCATGAAAGAAGTAAGAAAGGAAAAAAGAAAGAAAGAAAGAAAGAAAGAAAGAAAGAAAGAAAGAAAGAAAGAAAGAAGGAAAGAAAGGAAAGCATGGGAGTTACATATTTGAAATAACTAAGTAATAAGATAAAGCCCATAAAATAAAGGCATAAATCCAAAAATAGTAGAAAGGGGGAAGAGTAACCAGGAAAGATGGTGTCAAGAGAAAAACCAGGGCCAGTTAGACTCTATTTGTTGCTGTGCACTGGGCAACATCTAGATGCAGATGCTGAAGTGTGAGTCTACTCACAATAGGACTCAGATGTCAAACAGATCCTCTCCAATCTCATGATCAGGGATGCAAAAAGGCAATGAGCTGTAGGCAACATGGATTCTCATCATATTTATTTGAAAGCATAGCTTGAAAAGGAGTTGCAGATGCAAAGGGTCTGAAAAGGCACCCGTGTTGACTTGAGCAAAATGTAAAGACTTGACTTCAGTGAGCTATTTTTCACCCTAAACTGGTCTTAAAATATAGATACTGTGTGACACATTTAATAAATCATTCATAAATATTTTATATTCTGTTCTTTATCATACTGACAGTCTCTCTTCTCTTTCAGACCATCCATTTCCTGGTGATGTTATGTTCCCCAGGGAAATCAGTTTTACAAATCTACAACCAAATCATACTGCTGTTTATCAGTGTGAAGCCTCAAATATTCATGGAACCATTCTTGCCAGTGCCAATATTGATGTTGTAGGTGAGCATACCTGCGTCTTGACTTCACTTACTGTTTGCTGAAGGAAAATGCTCAGTTATAGTCACAAGTACCAGCTTTTTATGGGTGTGAATGTACATGTCTGTGTTCATGTGGTGGCCAGAGGACAATTTCAGATAACATTCCTACGGTACACTCTATCTTTATTTTCGGGACAGTGTCCCTCACAAGTCTGGAACTCACGAAGTAGCTTTGGATTGTTTCCAATGAAGATCAAGAATCCACCTGTTTCTTAATCCCCATTGGCAGGATTACACTCTAGTGCCCTTTTCTTTTTCTACTTATTTTTTAAACATACATTTTGGGGAATGAATTGATGTTTGTGCACTAAACTCTTACTGAGCTATCTTTCCAGTCTTAAGTACAGAATGATTTTTTTGACACATAAATCATGGGGAAGAAAATCAATGTATGGTTCACTTTATGTGTAGGCATTGGGTATTATATGTAAATTATGCTTTCAGCATGTGCTGGTTTTGTATAATATTCAAACGTAGGAATATGTACTGAAACGTTCAGCCATCTTCTATTCTTATAAATATGTCAAGGATATAGAAAATGTTCTTTGTACCTATTTTTGCAGAAAGATTTAAAACATTATTTTTACTTCTGACTAGATGTTGTCCCACTGATTCAAACTAAGAATGAAGAAAATTATGCTACGGTGATTGGGTATAGTGCTTTTTTATATTGCAAGTACTTTGCTTCACCCAAGGCCACAGTGATCTGGTAAGATGACATGCTGTTCTATTAACGAAATGGGTGTGGGAGTTGTTGAGCTACCATTTTGCAGTCTGCACTATGTTCCTATTGCTTCTGAGAGCCAATGCCTCTGAGAAATAAAGAAAGAAATTTAATTACTCATCCCTCCTGAAACATTGACTAGAATCCTGGGATTTTTTTAATGAAGAAATATACAAAGCCATTTGTGTTCATAAAGCACACAAAGAATTAAAATGATTCCTAAGACAATTTTAAAGATTGATTTGTTTTTCTATGGTGGGTCTATCTAAGGATTGTTATGACTTCTGGTCTGAGTGATTATTTATCTTAACCTACAGTCAATTGCAAACCCAATTAAGACTTTGCTAACATTCACTTTGATTTTAATAATGCTATTGTTGTTTAAGTCTAACCATATCACCCTAAGCATCTGCCATCTTAGTTGCTTTACTGATAAAGTTTGGTTACTTTACTGGGAAATTATTGTGCTCTTCCCATACAGGGCCTGAAGTAGGGAGGAAGTAGTGAGGTCAGGCAAGGCAAAGGCAGAGTCATAACTTATCTGATTCAATTGTGTTGTTTTGTCCATTTTATGGTTTTGGTTTTGATGAAAATATTGTTTATCTTGATTTCTGAAATGCTTTTAAACTTTGCATCTGAGGCAAGTCCCGTGCACATCTCAGCCTAGCCCTCCCTTTGAAAACCCTGTGCCGGTGTGGCCCATTTGTCCTCTACAATTGAGAGCACAAGCAATCACTTACTGTGAGATGCACAGGGTTAATCAGGCTGTGACAAGAAGTGCTTGGAGAATGGATGGATGTGGGAGAAAATGAGCCAGAGGTTGATAGGGTAAGTGTAATACATGTCCACAGGAGAGGCGAGACTTCCTGGCTTATAATATTTCTGAATGACCAATGTTCTCCTAGGAGAGCCTGAGGTTGGGAAGGTTTATTATCTGTTTCAATTACTAGCTTTCCCATTTGCTAGCCCAGAGCAATCGTTAGCTAAAGACTTTACCATAAATAAGCCAGGAAATATTTATTAAGCTTTGAGGACACATGCAAAGCAGTGCTAGAAGATACGAGACAAATAGAAGCAACCGTAGAAGTAGGGGATTGGATTCTCTTCCGCTATAGTCTGTTGGTCAGCTCTGATATACATCACAGACAGTTCGAAGAGAGTAATTAGTTCTATCCGTACATTTCGTATGGTCAGCCAAGCACCCGAAAAAGGCGTAAGCCTGGATGACATCAAGGAACAGTATCTGAAGAATACAAAATTGTGTCCCAATCAAAATCACTCATTTCTGCATCTCCACAGGGAAGTGGCCGATGAAACACATCCCCTTGAAGGCAGTAGGTACCACACCCATGAAAATGGCACTCTGGAGATCTACAGAACCACTGAGGAAGACGCGGGATCCTACTCTTGTTGGGTAGAAAACGCAATGGGAAAAGCCGTCATCACAGCCAATTTGGATATTAGAAGTACTGTTATTTTGCTTTTACGTTCATGAGTTCTCACATGGCTTCAGCTTCTCTTTGTTTTCTCAAACCAAACAGTGTTATTTAAATTTGAGCACCTGTTAAAGTTACTTTGATCATATCTCAAAAGCACTCCATTGCAGTTCATCTGAAAGACTATTGGTAGTATGGCAGGGTGTAATGTTCATGGATTTAGGCCGTCTTAGCAGTTGGCTGTGTATTGTTAGTGGTAGATCTTAAGAAATTCCTACTTGGGTATATTATCAGATCTATGTTTTGTTCCAGTAGTGAACTTGAGGTATTACCAAGCATTTGGTTTTCTTTTTTTGTTTGTTTGTTTGTTTTTTGTTTGTTTGTTATGTTTTTTAAACACTAAAGCAAAGTCATAGAAGTTTGATCTCAAAAAAAAAAAGCAGTTTGCCAACTTTGGGCAGGCTTTTTTTGTTTTCTTTAAACCAGCAAACTAGAAACATTCTTGTCAACCAGGCTTTCCTCTTTAGTGAAGTCCTAGAAAGCTGCCGATAGACTCAGGCTTCACTGCTATTTTTAGTTTTCATATTTTTTAATCTCAGAGATCCATAGTTTTGATAGTAACAATTGCTTTTGTCCTAAGTTATTATGATCCCTGACTCATTCAGTAAGAATCCCCACAAGTCAATATTAAATGTTTAGAGTGTCCCCCTCCTAAGCTCTGAGAGTACTTCTGAGTAAGAAAACAAGTGCAGCATCCTTTTGTCTAATCCTCCATATTCGTGCGAATACATTTATGCCAGGCCTTCACCATTTCTGATTTAATAATAAGTACGTGCATATAAAATCAACTAACTTTCCAATTCTCCTTATAACATGATTATATATATCTGGATGCTACAGAATGAGAACTTACATGATTTTTAACTTCCAGAAACATTTTTTAGCTCACATTTTTGTTATTTACTTAACAAAGAGTGGTAAGAAAGAGTGCTAACATTAATTGGTGCTTGCACCTAATTTTTCTCATGCTTAATGTAAAAAAATTACAGTGGGACTCACTGCATGTGACTGTGGCAGCACAATGACAGTTTTGATTGGTGAGGTTGTCGACACTGAGTTAGCTGGGCTCTGTGGCTCTAACCTCCACCTTTGTTTGATTGACAACCACGCAGATGCCACAAAGCTCAAAGTTAATCCGAAGAACCCTCGCATCCCCAAGTCACACGCACTTGAACTACACTGCGAAAGCCAATGCGACTCCCATTTGAAACACAGCTTGAAGCTGTCCTGGAGTAAAGATGGGAAGCCTTTTGATATTAATGGCACAGAAGATGGCAGGTTAGTACACTGCTGAATGAACACGGGGTTGTGTGTGAGTTGCAGGTTTCACATTAGAAAAAAACAAAGTCCCAACATTATTCACACTACATTAAAGTACAAAAACTCAAATGTTTTATTCTTCAAATCAGTATTCAGAAGATCTTCGAGTATTTGTTGTTTGTTTTATGTCCTTCTTGCTTCTGTTCAGTACCTTTTACAAAGCGTGGTTTCTCCTCTCAGAGCTGGGAATAGAAGCCAGGTGTGAGATGCAGTTCACCTGCATAGGTTGAGGAGCTCCCCAAACCAATGGGAAGACTGGAAGAACAAGAAGTCAAGGGTGCTGCTTTTTTTTGGGGGGGGGTCTTGCTCATGTGCAGTACCTCTCTGAACCAGGTATCTGAGAACTTCTGCCTCCTCCTCAGACCCCTGCCTCAGGAGACCCAACTGCTGCTATCCCATTGTCTACTGAAGTCTACTGATGTCTTCACTGCATTCTAAAAAGGCAGTCAGTGTCCAGTCCCTTCTCCCTGCCAGTCTCACACAAGTTCTTCTGACACATAAAATCCCAATTATACCTAGTAGTCATCTTCTTATGACATGTTGCCAATATTGAAACATGTTCTCTCTCAGTAGGAGTAGCTTGCAGAATCCTTGGCAGATATCAAAACCCATGTGGTCAAGTGCATTCTATAGAAGGATATTCTATTCTATCTCATACCTTTATTTAGAATATAGGTTACATTTACATTATTTTTAATAGTCACTGCAGTGTGAATACTCAGCAAGCAGTCATTTTACAGTGTGATTTAGAGAATAATAACAAGAAAAATTGTACCTGTTCAGTACAGATGTGAGTTTAAAAGCTTTTGTCCATCCATAATCAGTTGAATTTGTGAATGTAGAACTTACATATACAAAGGCTGAAGATGCATTTCTGAGTATTCTGAACAGGAGGAATGCAGAAGATAGAACAAAGAGGAAAACATGAATGACTGATGAGAATCACTGGAGTTTAAGGACAACAAAAAGATAAAGGGATCAATAGAATCCAGTAGAATTAGAAAGCCAGAAAGTCTGCTTGTCTGTTATATCACACAAAGGCCAGTTACATTTCTGCTTTATTGTCACTGAGTGAGAGCTAGAAATTTATCATTTTGAAGTCAAATCTCATCTGACTTAAATCAGAGTTACATAGTAACTCTGAAGATCTGGAGATAGCCCAAGTTCTCTTTCAATGAAATCTCAGTGGAGTCTTGGTTAAAAGAATGAACTCGTACTTAATGTTGTTCAGGCCCAATGCTGGCACTTAATGGATTGCTGCCCTCACCCTGTGTGCTTCATGCCTTTCTACCTCCACTTTTTATAACATGACTTGATGAAAAGGAAGAAAAAGCTGGAGCTGACTATTGTGAATTAAGATTTGATGGTCTCAGAAAATAGAAGAAACAGCTCATTGTTCACTATTCCATTTTGGACCGTTCATTCATCATTTCTCTAGGCGGTTCCTGTCATGACTGTTATTTCATTGGCCTCATTGTTTTAATGTCTACATATGCATACACATGCCATTTCTCTATGCAAAAATACCAATTTCAGCTGTGACCATCGACGTATTGCAGTGTGGCTCTTGCCTAGTACTACTGACTGACAAATCGCATCATGCGAGCTGATGTAAGAACGAGGGACCCTACCTCCAGTTCAGCCAGTTCCATGTGGTTCAGTTTTGTTTCCTAGTCTTCAAAGTTTTCAGTTTATTAATTTAGCACCACAATTTTGAATTATGTAAAACTGTCACCCTTTCCACAAAAAAAGCCATCGCTTACAATTTTTCCCACTAATAGCTATTTCTGTGAATGTACTTTAAATTTAATGATACTTTATGTGAAAAATATGAGAATTCATGTTGATAATATGTCTCTAAGTATAGAGCAAAAAATAAAATGGATAAAGGAGTAATTTTTGTGTGACACACTTTTGCAAACTGACAAAATACATACAAATGAATTTTAAAAAGCTTGAAATGATTTGCAGAAAGAAGTACAGGACTGCCACCTAGTGTTGAAATGCATTAAATGCTTCCATTATTACAAGTTGGAGATTAACTATTAGAGACCAGGGAAACATCAAAAGGGGAGAGGGGAGTGAGAAAAATACATAGCTCAATTAAAAATAATAAAGTCTAAAAACATTTTAAAAAGATACTATCAGAATCCATGATAATATTCTGGTTTTGTGGAATTGGGTAGGGTTCTAAAATCTTCTTTTTTCAGAAGCATCCTCCTTGATTCAGTATAAGGTTTGCTGTTCATTGCATAACAATTACGTAATTATGAACAGTCATCATGTAGAAGCAGGTGAATCTCTATGAGTTCCAGGATAGCCTGGTTAGCAGAAAGAGTTCCAGGTCAGCCTGGGAGCCAGGGAACTTGCACAGAGAAATCCTTTCTTCAAAAACGAAAAACGAAAAACCAAAACCCCTAAAATTTCCTAGCTCTGTTAGTATATGAAGTTTGACCAGTTCAAACTTCTGTCACAATCCATAGGTCACAGATGGTTGATTATGTAATTTGTAAAAATACAATCCCATTTAATACTGTGTAGTCATGTGTATATTGTGAGACTGTATTCCAGGTTTTCATCTGTGACCTTCTCTGGTAACATCTGCATTGTATGAACTGGTCTCATTACTCTGTCTTGAATCATTTTCCATGCAGGAACTTGCATCATGAGTTGTGAAAGGATTATATTTCTGTTGTTGGACATGTTCTTACCCACATCATGTACTTTTTGCTTTCCCCCATCCCAACAGAATATTGATTGACGGAGCTAATCTGACCATAGTCAACATTTCGGTAGAAGATCAGGGTATTTATTCCTGTTCTGCTCAAACTGCTCTTGATAGCATTTCTGAGAAAACTCGTGTAACTGTCCTTGGTAAGTGAAAACAGAGAGAATCTCTGCCCCATGCTTCCTAGGAGTGCTTAATTTCCTTTGTTTCTAGGCATTAAAGCAAATGATTACTTGGGCCTCTGCTCTTAAACTGAAATCTGATTTTTTGTTTGTTTGAAGTGCAACTTTGCTTTTAAATTATTTCCGCTTTTCTCACATAAGAGAAATTAATTAATGCCTAATTATTTTTCCCTATGTGGGAACTTTGCCAGTAGCAGCAGGAGATAAGCAATGCTGGCGGTGAAAAGAAAAAGCAAGGTCTCAATCCACCCATTACTACTGTTCAGAGTCGTGGGGCTGAGAACAGAAGAGAACTCTATGGAGAGCCAGTAGTGGACGCTTGGTGTTTATACCCTACACCAGAACCTTAAGTTGAACTCCCAGCGCCCCAGGAATCTGAACGCAGACATCAAGTACTCTGTAAAGGAACATATTTGAATGTTTTAAGTACTAATTGGAAAACAGTGTGCACACTCCACTGGTGCAATCAATGTCATTAACCCTGAAATCACTAGCGTTTATAACCCTCAGACCATCTGCTGGCTGCTTTCCAAATGCCTTTTCCTATTAACTCACCAACAGCTCTTCCTCCTGTAACCATGCCCTGGAAAGGCAACCCCAGCAAGCCATTTAAGATGTATCTTTCACTACAGGTATAGCATTCTGAGAAGTGTGGAGGGTGTTCACACCCCTTCTGTCCCTCTATGTAGGCTTGCTGAATCTCACTGCCAAAGGCATAGTTCCTCCAGGAAGATTTTTCCAAAGCAATTCCTTCTGAAGCGATACTCCCAGCATTAGAATTTCAAGTCCGCCTTAAAAACAGGCTCTGGGCACTCTGTCCGCATGCATTTAAGGGGGAGTTCCTGCTAACACCTGTTGACATTTCCTAATGTAATCAGCTAAATATTACCCGAGACTCCACCCTCTACAGGTAGCTTAACAGTTTCCCACCATGGAAAGTGAGTAAGTTGGTGTTGAAGTCCTTTATAGGAAGCCAGTAGCAACTAAGCTGAGTCCGATTAAGTTCAAGCTACATTGTAGCAGGTCTAGACTTGGCTACTTGGGTGAGATGTTTAGCTCTAGGTAAGTGAGCTTCTTTAGGACTCTGCAAGTAAAAATATTTAGTCCTCTCTTAGCTATTCTAGCAGCATTTAAAAGTTATAGAAGCTGAGCATCTGGTTAACAATGCTGTATCTCAGGCAGCAGGAATACAGAACATCTGGACACATGAACTTTCCTCCTCAGGATTTTGAATGATGGCAGCTTCGAAAGGTTGGCTTTCTGCTGTTGGCAGCCACCTTCTGGATTTTATTGCAATTTTAAAAATCCACCCTTATGATTACTCTTCCATTTTCTAGTACTGTGAAATTTTGGCAATTTTAAATATAGTGGCTATGATCATACATCCTCTTTATTTACATGGTAATCGCCTAACATTTTAGTAATATTTGAAAAATTTTAGATAAGATGGGGTGATTTTTTAAAACTGCTTCCTTGGTTTTAAAGTATATTTTTTAAGTTTTAATATCTGATTAAATCATACCAATAATTGACCATAAAATGATTCTGGACGTGTGTATAGCTTCTAAAATATTTTATACTAGAAAACAATAGTTTAAAAGCCTAGACATAAACAAATTTTCCTAGAAGTTGTTTCCAGAAATTTTAGCATAAAAATATTTTAAGAGGAGTTGGAGAGATGAATCAACAGAAGAGCGCTGGTAAACTCTGTAAGTTTAGTTCTGAGCACCCACATGGTGGCTCACAACCACCTATAATGAAATCTAGTGCCCCCTTCTGGCCTGCAGGCATACATGCAGGCAGAACACTACATAATAAATAAAGAGAGAGAGAGAGAGAGAGAGAGAGAGAGAGAGAGAGAGAGAGAGAAAGAAAGGTTTAAAAAATATATTTTAAGAAGCAGTTTTCAAAGCCTTTGTTCCTTGGGTTCCATGTGATGTTAGACGAAGTCAGATTTTCATCTCAAGTGAAACATGGTAATTGGGATGGGCAAGGAAACCTAAGGATATATTGGATTCTTAGCAAATCCCAAAGAGGAAAGTAAATTCTCTAAGCTTGGGAATATAGAACACTATGGAAGAAATACATTTTGTGGGGAAGGAAGACTGGGAAGAACCTATGGTTTTGTGCATTTCTGGCAAGATGTTTGCTCATGAAGTCCTAGCCTGGAGAAATACTTTTTTATTTAAGTACCTGAACTTTGAATAGAGTTATGTGCCAAATTTTAAAAGTAAACATGTTCCTTTCTGAACTATAAATAATGCTTTTTTGTCAATGTTTACTTAACAAGAACTTGTCAAATAATATAGGCTAGCATGGATAATAGTCTTCCTGTCTCCTCCAAGCTGAAACATATGTTCTCCTTGAATACTAGGAATATTAGAGCAAATTTTGACAGTAAAGTTTATTTATGGTAAGAATTCCCTGTTTTGCATGTACACACACACACACACACATATGTGTGTGTGTGTATGTATATATAAATATTTAAGTGTTAAGGTATATATATATATATTAAATATTCGTAATTGCCTTTAATTTACCAGTTTTGTTACATTTGCCCAATATGTATCTGGCATCTGCACTGGCATCTCTAGATTCATTTCCTCTCCCTCTGTTTCCCTGGAAATCCCACATATCCTCTCCTCCCTAGCTATTGGCCATTCATCTCTTTATTAAATAAACCAAAAGGCACCTTGGCAAATAGACATCTTCGCAGTGTACAAAATGATTATCCCACAACAAGTAGTTTCTCGATATTCTTACTGTTACTTTTATGCATCACTGTTAAAAGTAAAATATGTTCAAGGCTCAGCTTCTCTTTGAATCAGTTCCCAAGAGAGGCAAATACTCTCACCAAATAAAATAACATCAATAAAAGTCCTGCTGTTTTCTGGGGGAGGTGGTGGGGAAGTGAATCTGGGGAAAAGGGAGGTGGAGGAGAACCAGGAGGAGTGCAGGGAGGGGAAGTTGTGTTCAGAATGTGTTGTGTAAGAGAAGAATAAGTTTCAAAAAGTGAGAATGTGCTTTGTGAACATCAAATAATCTTCAATGTGTAAAAGGACTATTGCCACCCTCAGCGTGGTGCATCCTCAAGGTGGAGACTTGAAAGATACACAGGAAGCTTTGACTACTAATTCTTCTCAGGAAATTGAACTTGGCTGATGGTCAATGATCTTGCAATCTCTTGAAAAAGGTGGAACCATCTCTGCTCTGGCACCTACACTGTGCACTGTCACGTTACAGCTTTCTTTTGTTATTGATTAGGTGTTCCAGATCCACCAGGAAACCTTCTCTTGTCAGAAAGACAGAACAGGAGTGTCCGGCTGTCCTGGGAAGCTGGAGATGACCACAACAGCAACATCAGTGGTAGGAAGCTTGAAATGACCTTTATCTTTACCCAGCTATGTCAATTGAATATCATAGACATTTTAATTACCACTGTGAGATTACCTTTTAAAAATAGATTTGTGTATTAGTGTGTGTGTGTGTGTGTGTGTGTGTGTGTGTGTGTGTTCCTCTTCTTATATGTCTATGTACCTGTGAAGATCAGAAGGTCATTGAATTGGAACCCTTTCATACTGTCCTACCCTCCCTTCTACTGTCCATCCTTATTAGTACATTTTTTTTTACTATCTAGCTTAGAAACTTTAATTCTACTTTCAAGTCACATATATGTACATGCCTTTAGGTGTTTATATAAGACCCCAAAACCACAAATGAAAATTGGCAGATAATTTTATCTTCTTGAGATTAACTTAATTACTTAGTATGATTTTTTTCCACACTTACTCATTTTTCTGTAAATGATGTGACCTTTTTCTTCAACTTGCTGTTTGTTGTTGTATTTTTTGGTGTGTGTAAACTCCCAAGTATGAAGGCGTACATACATGCATGTGTACACTTGTCTGTGTATGTGCATGTATGTAGATCAGAGTTCAACCTTGAGTATCGTTCCTTAAGCACTAGCTACCTTTAGGTTTGTTTAATTGTTTTGAGACTGGATCTCTCATTGGCCCATGACTTAATCAAGCAGTCTAGCTGAGAGCGTAGGAATAGTAGTGATTCTCTTGTTTCCACCTTTCCCTTACTGAACAAGGGCACACAACCAGGTTTATGATTTTGTGTGTGTGTGTGTGTGTGTGTGTGTGTGTGTGTGTTCTGAGAAATGAACACAGGCCTTCAAGCTTTCAAGAAAAAAAAACTTTACTGCTCTGTCAGTCGCAAAATCATTTTTCTTTTTTATGCTCTTAATGTTACAAATAAATCTTCATAGACCATCAACAAATTCAGTATGTTTTAATGGTTTGTTCACATTCTTACCTCAGAGTACATTATAGAATTTGAAGGGAACAGAGAGGAACCTGGGAAGTGGCAAGAGCTAACTAGAGTTCAAGGAGAAGAAACAGAGGCTGTGTTATCTTTGGCTCCATATGTAAGATATCAGTTCAGGGTCACAGCTGTGAATGAAGTGGGGAGAAGTCACCCCAGCCAGCCATCGGACCATCATGAAACTCCACCAGCAGGTATGAACGGCCCCTTTGTATAACAGAATATTTTACACTGACAGACAACAACTACAATAAAAAACAAAACTAAAAAATCTTTTACATTTGCCAAATCTTTGGTTTTGAACACATTTTTAGAAAAAGATCAAGTATGTAATGTACGATTTTAGGTTCCTCCAAATAATTTGAAAAGTTCTATAAAACAACAATGTAGAATATTAGAAGTGGTTCTTTTAATTTTTAGAGTTGTCTAATTGTTTGATTGTGAACAGAAGATTATTACTCTGAATAGTTTTCGATAGCAATTTAATTTTTGAATAGCTAAATATCATGTTTGAAATTGAAGTGGATTTTATCATGTAAATGCTAAACGGAAGTTCAGTGTATAGAGGAAGCCATGGATTCAGTTTCCAAAAAAACACTTTTAGCTCATAAGAAATCTTTTAATACTTTAAAACTGTGTGCTAGTGTTATGTCTTATGCATTCAGTCTTTTTGTATTTTCATGTTTATCTAAGTCATCAGAATAATTTTGTAAATAACCAACAGAGACAGTGCAATGATGGAGGAGGGTTATCTGTCTATTGTGTTATTTTCATTGGTCAATAAAGAGACTGCCTTGGCCCTTTGATAGGACAGAAAATTAGGTAGGCGGAGTAAACAAAATAAAATGCTGAAAAGAGGGCAAAGAGGCAGACACCATGGAGTCAGCCACCAGGTCAGACATGCTAAATCTTTTCCGGTAAGCCATTACCTCGTGGTGCTACCACAAGATTATTAAAAATGGGTTAATATCAAGATATGAGAGTTAGTCAGTAACTAACTCTCTAGAGATAATGGGCCAGACAGTGTTTAAATAAATATAACTTGTGTGTTATTATTTCTGGGGCTAAGCTAGCTGTGCGGGAGCCGGGCAGGATGAAAAGCAGGCCTGCCCGCAGCCCCTCACTACAGTGCAAGCAATTTGTACTACAAAATTAGCATCAGGCAGTATCATTGATATAAAATGGTGTTTGCTTTTTTTGAAGTAAAGTAAGCATGCTGGGTTACAATCTACTTTCTGACAAGGAAAAGGCAAAGTGAATTAAACCTGAATCTGGTGCTTGCATGATTTTAGTTTGCACCAGACTCTGCTAAAATTCTTGTTAGGATGTTTCTATTAAAATGCCTCAGCCCGAATGTATTTTATTTCATGAAAGTTTCTTGTTAATGTTGATACATGAATTTCAATTTCACTTTGCTAGAGGCATATGTTCACAACATCCACATCTCTCAATAATTCTGATAGAAAAGTGCAATTTGAAAATGAAAACATGTATATTAAAGCAGGCTTAGAATTTTAATTAGCAGGCTTAAATTTTAGATATATGTAATAAATCCTGTACTGTCCACAGAAAGGCAATTATAGAACACCGAGAATGCTATTTACTCCTTTTAGTAAAATGTTTCATCTTCTTAGAAATGAGATTTATTGAAATTAATAAATATAGAATGTTTAATTATTTGGTTTTTGAGGTATGATGTTTAACCAACTGGTTACTATACAATGTTAAAATGTTTTTAATGTTTATCATTTCTCAGCTCCAGATAAGAATCCACAGAATATCAGGGTTCAAGCATCCCAACCCAAGGAGATGATTATAAAATGGGAGGTGTGTATTCCCTACAATGTCAATGTGCTTTCTCTTGATTATTTATTCATTTTAAGTAGGTTTGCTAACTATAATGACATAACAGGATTTTTTAAGAACAACATAATAATGGGAGAATAAAAAACTAAATTTTGATTTGTTGTCAATGCTTTAAGAGTACAAGGATTAGAATTGGCTGTAAAATAGAGATGTAATTCACTGGTAAAGTTCTTGCCTAGAAAGAATGAGACCTTCGACTCAAACAAGTGAATAATTTGACCAGACAGTAAGCTGAAGTAGGGAAGTAGGAAGTTCTTCAACAACTAACTTAGATGGGCATAGCCAGGGTATTCAACTCCCAAGTGCTAAAGGTTTTATTACATGAATTGAAAGTTTCACTTACATTTAAAATGAAACTAAGGAAAATTAAATGGAAAATGAAGGGAACATCATGGAAAACATTGTTTAGAAACTGTGCTGCATTCTCAGAAGTTGACAGAAGGGTAAATTTTATCTATTCTTATCAAACAAATATACATATTTATGACACAGTGCTAACATACATGGTTTTACCATTTCTATAGTCTACAGTATAAACGTATTCAAATTAACATGTGGTCTATGCTAAGTACACACAATTTTTGTCTTGATAGCAATAGCATAGGCTTTACAGGCCCTTCAGTGACTTTTGTAGATTCTTGTGTCCCTAACTTAATAGTGTCTTTCTAGAGACCCCCTTCATTGTGGTCAGGGCTAGAAGAGAAAGCGAAGGCTAATGGTCTCTTTACCTGATTCATCTTTGATCTTCTGCGACTGAGCTTGTCTTAAGTTATTTGAGAATTACTGAAATTTTGTTGACTATTGCCTCAAAGCAAAATACAAAAGTCCTTCAGGAGCTCAGGGACCAAAGAGTTGGCAAAATAAGCAAATATTCTTAACATTGGAACAGTTTATTTTATAATTTGTCAGAGCACATTATTAAATTTATGTTTTTCCTTGGAGCAAAATATCAACAAATTGAATAATGTTAATCTTACATATTCATTATCAATAAAGATTGGAAAAATATAATTCTTGATTGTAGTCTGGACCTCAAAGTTTGTATCAGAGACTAAAGAGTTGGCTTGGTGGTTAATAACACATACTGTCTTATAGAAGACTGAAGTTTTTTTCTGAGTACCCATGATAGATGCCCCATAATCTCCTGTAACATCAACTACAGGTGTTCCAACGCCTAGATTGGATTTCATGGGCACCCACACTCACTTACACACAGAGATATACTGCATATAGGTAATTAAAAATAAAAATAAATCCTCAAAAATTCTCACACAGCACTCAGGAGGCAGAGGCAGGCAGATCTCTGTGAGTTTGAGGTCAGTGCTGAGATTAAAGGCATTTGCTACCAGCTTAGAGTCATTTTTGTGTGTGTGCATGTGCGTGCGTGTGTGTGTGTGTGTGTGTGTACATGTGTGTGTGTATCTGTCTGTCCATCTCTGTTTTTTCTCCTAGTTAGTTTAAATAATTACTTTGAAATAATTATAAAATTAAAATGGTTTATTGATAGAGCACTCTGCTTTCAATATGATTCCAACCGATGCTTCTAATAAGTACTTTAGCCAGTTGTGTTGAATGAAGAAGAAGAATAAATGGTACAAGAACATTTTATATGACATTTAATCACCTACATACACAAAATTACTCTTTTATAAATTAACTTCTAATCTAGGATGAAAATGCATTTAAGCAAATTTTTTATATAAATTACTGAATCATTTAAATAAAGTACCCATTTGTAAAGTTAAATTGGTGATTTAAACCACATTATTTTTCTTTAAAGTTTTCTTTAATTAAAAACTAAAGTAGAAATAATCAATTTCTAATTTGAAAAAACCAGAAACTCTTCCACAAAACCTTTCTATATGGCAAAATAAAGTGAGTGAAATAGCCATTTTGGGTCAAGGAACTGAGAAAGTATTCAGTAAAAAGAGGAAGTACTGCTTCTTAGTCCTCTCTATAAACATGTCCATTTTCCAAAATGAAAGATAGTTCCATCTCCCTCTTTTAATGGAAGCTAGAACAGAATCGTGTGGAGGAAAGTATTCTGCCTAAGGAACCATGGCCCAAGAGTTCATGACCACATAGTTTCTGTTTCTTTGGTAGAAAAAAAATGTAGAATATAGCAGAAGCTCGAGAAAAACTAAAACACTATTTTCAATTTATTTTATATATGATCATTCAAGTTTCACCATATGTGTGTAACTCGGGCTCCTAAAGTATCCCATATTTTGAATGGTAGAAGATTTATGTGTAAGATTAAATGAATAAAGTGACGAAAATACTTCTAACTCCAAGGAACACAGTTAAGATCTCTAATTTGTTTTTCAGTTAGTCATACATTCTTTAAAATGAGTCACTGCCACCTTTCGGTCAACATATCTACAAGTCCATCGAGTGTGTTTTTCTGTTTTAGCCTTTGAAATCCATGGAGCAGAATGGGCCAGGACTAGAGTATAGAGTAAGCTGGAAGCCCCAGGGAGCACCAGAGGAATGGGAAGAAGAAACAGTTACAAATCACACACTCCGTGTGATGACACCTACTGTCTATGCTCCTTATGATGTCCAAGTTCAAGCCATCAATCAACTCGGCTCTGGACCTGAGCCTCAGCCAGTGACACTCTATTCAGGGGAAGACTGTAAGTGGTTCATCCTTAAATCTTAAACACGTCAACAAAATTTTCAAGTTACCACATTTGTGTCAGCATTTTCAAGTACCTATTGCTTGCAAAGACAATGTACCATAGTGGGATGGCCGCTTGTTCATTCAAAGCTGCCCAGACTTGAAGTAAACACACAGAAACTATTTTATTTGCAAACTCTTTGGCCAATACCTTAAGAATATTTGTAACTTGCTCTTATATCCTAAACTAACTCATCTCCAATAATCTGTATATCGCCACGTGGCTGTGACTTACTGGGCAAAGTTCTGTCTGGCATCTGTCTCTGGTGGGGCTACATGGCTGCTTCCTGATTCTACCTACTCTATCTATCTATCTATCTATCTATCTATCTATCTATCTATCTATCT